AAAGAAAAACTCGTAACTTTCTCAAATTGCATTCAAAACTTCTGAAACTCACAGCGCTCATGTATTTTTGATCTGAGAATACGATTCTGGAATAAAAAAAAGATTCTCGGATAGTTCGAAAAGACTGTTTTTTGTAGAGGGCGCTAGCATTTCAACTTTTTCGGACTATCCGAGAATCTTTTTTTTACTCCAGAATCGTATTCTCAGATTAAAAATACATGAGCGCTGTGAGTTTCAGAAGTTGTGAATGCAATTTGAGAAAGTTACGAGTTTTTCTTTGAAAAACTGTACAACTCAAAAACCCTGAAATTTTGAAAATTACGTATCTCGAGAAGTAAGACTGATAGTGGCTTGAAACTTTGGGGTTACCTTGCAATCGGTGACATCGACTTACTGTAAAAGTTTCATAGTATTTTATGGCCGTCTGTCAAAGTTATGAATTTTTTAATTTTCTGGGTTTTCCGCTGCAAAAACAAGAAAAACCTTCCAAGGAAGCCGATCGGGGACTAATCCTCTTAGGCTTTTTCATACCTCCCTAATACCTATCGAATGGCATATCAACGAAGGAAATCGGTGGGTATCACCTGAGAACGTTCCCTCGTGAGACGTTTAGTTTTTGTCTGCTGAGGCTATCTGCGACGAAAAATGAACGGAAACTGAATCGGCGGTTTGCAAAACGTTTGTAGGCTTTTCTGTAAGTAAAGACTGCATTTCAGGCATGTTTTGAACTTTTTTTGAAACTGAAAAGGCTTCGTCTGAAAAATTTTATGTTCCCAGCTTAGGTAAGGTACTGTGTTCCTCGAACAAATTGTTGAACGCTCTGCGAAAAACAGTATTTCTAACACTCGATTTGGAAAAATCAGAAACGAGTAACTCCCTCGTCGAAGATTATTTGCGATTTTTTTTTGCATCTCATTAATTGGCCTTCTTAGTTTCTGTTATCGTTTTCGGAAAAGTTGAAAAATCACTTCGAAATTGCTTTCTGAATTTATTTCGAAAGATTCTCTTGATCTCTAGGCTTTACAGCTTTTTAAAAAGATTGGCTCGATTTTCAATTTTCAAGGTTGTTTGAGGTAGTAAGTTATTTCGTAAAGCGGTCGACGCAATAGAGGACCCGGGTCTTGTATTGCGTCTTGACGCTCACTGGTTTTAAAGGGGTCTTCTGTTGCATCTACCAAATAATACACTAATTTTGATTACTCTTTCATTTTCACTTCTGATCCAATTTTTGAACCAACGCTCTTGTCTATCAGTAGAGATTCTCAGCTCTCACACGACGTCGTAGCTTGCACACTTAAGCGGAACCAGTTTTTTAATATTTAAATTGGAGATTCGATCGCAATTTTGTATTAATTTAGGGGAGTCTTGTATTGCGTCTTTCGCTCCGCTGGCTCAAAAGGGGTCTTGTATTATAGGGGGGGTCCTCTATTGCGTCGACCCCTTTACGCGACCAATTTAAAGAAGATACATATCTTGTCATATTCGATATCGTAACAGAAACAAATTCCTTCAAATTTCAGATTACACTATTCACAGAACAAGAAAGGGAGAGAATCGCCATTAGTCATGTATACACAGGATTTTAATTCAAGAAGATTTACAGAAAAAAAGCACAATTTTGGAATTTCAAATAAAAAAACTCGATTTTAACGAACATGCAAATTAGTAGATTTTAGATTGTCTCGCCTGACTTGTAATTCTATTATTCAGAGGCCCTGGAGCATATAAAAATACCTTTTTACCTTTTTACCTAACCAAGAATAGCAACAGTAACGGCACCGAAATTAATATTGCATGCAAATGTTTGCCAGGTTTTACAGGTCAGTCTTAATTTTCGAGTCAGAAATTTTTCTAACCTTACAGCTGCATAATCCACAAAGAGATCCAATACTTTTTCCAAAAAGCTTGCATATTACTAGCAGTCTCATGGAATAACAAACTTGCCCCTAAAAAAGGAAGATTTTGATTTAACCTGTTTCCAAGACGAGCTGTTCTTCTAAACTGGCGATAGTTTCGAAGGCTTTATTAGAAGTTTCTCAGAATATAGCGAAAACATCTCTTCTTATGGAGCCTGATCTAATCTTCACCACTCTATCAGTTTTTTGTAAAACCAGATCGACGAGCGTCTCCCTGAAATACTAGTAAACTCGATTATTTAGGAATATTTGAATTCTCTCATTTACTATTTTACTTAAATCTATGTTCTTGAATTCTTTCGCTGCTTCATAAAAAAAATGACTTCATTCCATCTCAGGATCAAAAACTCCTCCTTTCGATCTACTTCAAGTGATAAAATCAGTGGTACAATCTTTTTTAAGTTTACATCCCTCTGTCGTGTTAAAATGCACCTACAAGCAGATATTGTCATCAGAAGACTTTTTCGACATTTAAACGATCTTCAGGCAGATCATTCTTTCAAAAGTACACGATCTTCTCAAATCAAAACGGTATTTGATACTGATTTGACCCTTGTTGTAGATGGTACAGCCTTTCACAAATTCTTCACCCAGTTTTCGTTTTTCTTACTTACTTCATTTAGGACTCTACTGTGAGACCAACATCAACGACTGCCTTCTCTCTACCTGCTCTGCTTCTACAAACCAAGGCCAGTGCACTGATCTCATCAACGGCTACTCTTGCTCATGCAACCCTTACTACTTCGGTCCTAACTGCGAGTATACCGCCAAGAAGTCAGCCTCACTCTCTCCTACAATTCTTCCAACGCCAAACACAACATTCACGTTAAAAAACACCTTCCTTAACATCTCTGAACTCCTACCATCACTCCCTTCACACTACTTTCCTTTACGTATAACGTACAGCTTTCTTACAACGCTTTCTTACGTGCCATTACTATCCATCGGCAGGTCTTTCACACAGATCAAAGACGGAGCATCACTGACAACAAACGATTTCAAACAAGGTGTACCTGAGTCGAAGAAGTGGTATTATGTTAGTGTTGATGTCTACCAGCACTGGGTCGATGTGAGCGTCGTGCAGGGAGAGAGTAAGAAGGAGCTGTTAGTATTGAATGTGGCCAGAATGCAGAGAGTTTATCTGAGGGAAGTGATGGATTTGAGAAATATCTTATTTGGGTATGATCAACAGCAGCAAGAAAAACATTTTACGGGTTGTGTCAAAGAAGTCAATTGCGAATATGGACCGATGGATCGAATTGAACTGAATGAGAAGAATGTTAAGTTGAATGGAAATATTACAGTGGGATGCAAAAGGTGAGTAATTTATGATGAGAAGGCGTCGTCCTTAGAAAAGCTAGCCGATTATAAGATGTAGAATGAATTAATTTTTGTTATACAAACTGGCAGAAAAACTGGAGAGGGGTCCCTTCAAATTTGTTAACTTTTTAATCGGGGAAGTTGCCAGAATAAACACTAGTGTCATAGTGAGGAGAATCCTTCTTTTCGATAAAACGATAAAATTTGTTCTTTTCCATTTCTTGCTTTATTTCTCTCTGTATAGTGTGCATAGAAAGAAAAAACATCAAAGCAAAGAAAAATGAGACATAAAAGAGAACGGGAAAAAAGCCGCATCATTGATGTCTACCGTTGAATATAGTGTAATATACCGTGAAAATCCACAGTGCTGAATCCAAGTCCAAAAAGTGTCGGAATACAGACGAGGCTTTTACGCCGTACAACATAACTCATCGCGCTGATTCCGAATATATAAAAATCTCAAAGACCCTTCTCTAGAAAAAGCCATCAAATTTTGATATGTTTTTACTCTTCTCTAGTGTTTTGTCACGTCATACACTATGTTCACATGACAGCGTTAATCGCGATTAGAGCGAAAACAAAACTTGGTCACACGTCTCCTTCGACCACCATGGCCCGAAGAGAAACCTATATAGCGGGAAAATTCTACTTAAAACTGATCTAACTACCAGAGCTCCGAATGGACTCAAATTTTTGAGTCCAGTCCCGTCCATGGACTAAAAAAGCCTAGTCCAGTCCAGTCCATTAGATTGAATAAATAGTCCAATGGACTTTTCAAACTTCTGTATGCTCTAATAAAAAATAAGTATTAAAAATTATATACGGAGTATATTACGTAAGGAGCTAATATACGGAGTAAATTATATACGGAGCTCTGCTAACTACTCAATGAGAAACAATTTCTATATTTTGATGAAGCCAAGGAGTGACATTGGTGACTCTGTATCTCAAAAGCCAGACGGTACCTATTTTTGAAAAATAGCTCGGCACGATGTCGAATATTTCTTCTTCCGGTTAGGATAAAAAGTAGAAGTAGATACTCTCTATTTAATTCCTATTTAACTGGTTAAGTTGATGGATTTCCCATTAAAGTCATTATGAGTAATATTTTCCTTGGGTAGAAGAGTAGATGAACATTTAGAGTAACAGATAAAATTCGTTCTTCTTTATTTCATTCTTTTGTTATATGAGTTAAATTGTGCAACTGATAATAGAAAGCGAAAATTTATTCCATTCTGTGCATATCATCTGTTTCTCTTCCTGCCATTTAAGTGAGAAAAAGTAAAAACAAATATCAACACATCGACAGAAAAGAACAAATTTCTCTGTGCTTGGAATGTAGTCCACGTTCACGTTCCACGCGTTGAATTATTTTTGATGGCTTCCCTTAAAATACAATCAATATAAAAGCAATTATTCAGTATTTATGTAATTGATTTGTGTGAAGATTCGTCTAAATCCGTTGATAACCTGTATTCTAATAGGCAGACTTGGACATATGAATCAGCTCATATTTAAGAAATCAATTGAAAAAATATTATTTAAAATCTGTTAGAAATGCGACAGAATCGCTCAATGTATTAAATGGATTTCTGCATGCTTTCATGTTGAAATATGACTTGCTTCTATCAAGTAGACATTTACTGTTGTTTAGACTTTATTCTTGCGATAATGTACAATACAAGTTCGTGATTATTACACTCAACACTAACATTGGTTAAGATACTCTCATGTCATCTCATCACACTTCTTATTCTTATCTCTCTATTCTTCTTGTGTTCCTGCTTGTAGAAGCATGAGCAATAATTGTTTAATATTATCTGGATCAATAGCGATCGGAGCGTGTGAAGAAAATTTAGGAAATTTCTCTTTAAGTGCTGCACTCGCCTTTGGATGGAAAGAATCATAAAACTGTTGAAAAATATGATTCATAACTTCTACTGACTCTCGATCATATTTCGGATGATGAACTCTAATGTGTTTCTCGAAAACACGCTTGTACGTTATGAACGTAGTCTCCAATTCTAGGGCTGACGGCCGCTGTTTTTGATCATTATGAACACAACTACGAATTAATTCGTCGAAAACAGGACATTTTTCGTTCAAAATAACTTTTCTTGACGGTTCATGGAACGAATGATTTTTCTCCGTGAACAGGTAGTAGATTGTCAGTCCGAAAGTGAATACGTCAAGCGACTGATCGTAGCTCTCAGTGTAGAATTCTGGTGGCATATAAGGTTGACAGCCCACAACTGTCATAAATTGTCCCGGGCTTTGTAAACCACGGGCAATTCCCATATCACCGATTTTAGCCGTATAGTACTTGTTGATAAGAATATTGTCAGGTCTTATGTCACGATGAATCATTTTTCGATCATGTAACTTTCGCATCCCACTTGCTATATGCCAAGCCATATCGAGCTTACAGCTTAGTGATAGCTTCTCATTTTGTCGAATAACAGTAGCCAAACTTCCACTACTCATATACTCCATAATCAAAGCACACTGAAGCGCATCCGTTCCTGACTTTGGCTTATTCAATGCATACCCATACAATTTGAGAATGTAAGCACCTGACAATTCGTTGTAAGCTGCGAGTTCTCGTTGGAAACTTTCAAACAGATGCATTTGAGTCGGCATTATAGAAAAGCGTTTACAAGCCACATAGCGATTTCTCGAAATCCATTTGGCTTTATAAACAGCGCCTACAAAATGAGATATCGCAATAAATCAAATGCCCAAGTACACGATCGCGAGTGCGAGTTTGAAAATATTTTGATCAGGTTTATTAGAATACCATTGCTGCTCTATTTTCATGGCGTAAGAAATGGGCATGATCGCTGACCAAAACTGCAATATAACCTAATTAATCATAGATTAGAACCTTCACCTTATCTATTATAGTTTATTACGGGGTAAAAAACGGAGCATACTCACAAGTCTATAGCGATTTGTCAGAAACCAGAACAATATAATATCTGTCACGGTCTGTGAGGCAGACTGTCGACGAGGAGGGAGAGCTCAGTTTACTCGCTATATGTTTCAACACAAAGGCGACGGAACTAGAGGCGTCGCCTCATCGCTCTAGACGCATGGGGGCGAGCATATGGTACTGCGCCCACAGGTTCGCGGTGTGACTTCTTTGTACCATCATTACGATAAATATTCTTCCCATAACCGTTTTTTTTCTGTAACACGTTTTTTACATAGTCAAAGAATGCACGAAAAAAAGAATGGAAGTAGAAGAAAGAAATAAACACAACCCATTGGAACTTTTAAATACTTTCGATTGGGATTAAGTTAGTCCAAACTAATTGAAGATTCAGTATTTTTTCAAAAAAGAAAAAACTCAAAGTCCCCATAGTATATCTGATATAGTTAGAGGCTCCCGAAGCAACCTTTTGCGAAGAATCCAATGGCAGTCACAGAAATTCTCGAAATTTTTTCTAAACCGAATTAACCACCTATTTTAGTTTCGAAAAACTTGAAATTAATTTACATCAATTTTTTTTCTAATTATGTACATTAATTCTTGATACAGAAATTTGTTCAGATTCATTTTGGTTTTGAAATTAATTTTCTCAAATGTTTTCTAAATCAATTTAAATGAATTAGTTATTACAAATTGATTTAAATTAATTTAGTGCTATTAATACAAGGGGAAAATAGCGGACTCTCGAAGTCCAAGAACAAAAGTGTTGTTTGTTGGAAATCACTTCCCGAAAGGACCATTTTTGTTCTGTTCTGGGAGTCGCTTCCATAACCATAACCTTTTTGTTCTGTTTTTAGAACGAACTTATACCAGTTCACAGCTCAATGAACTGAAATGAGCTGTCACATACCTACCTTGGACCCTTGCACTCCTTGGACTCCAGAAGTCCGGGAGTTCCCTCTTGCATTAATAGCACTAGGTTGTGAGATGATGTAAAAATACTCTGATTCTTTTCGTTGACTTTACAGACTAAAAAATCCGCCCACAGCTTTCAAGCCGTTTCAGCGCTCCTGTTTCAACACTCATCAACAATCATTAGACAGTTTGAACATTTGTATATCTTACTACACTGGAAAAAATTTCCGTAGCTTTATCAACCCTCAAAACTCGTTCCTTGCATCCTTTAATTTGACACAAAACAAAATTCCTTTCGCGAGTACTTGAGTCAAAAGCGTTTATTGAAGGGTTTATGAAGTGAATAAACCAGTCGAAGAGTATTTAAGGATACATACAACGGTTTTTGAGGGTTGATTAAGCTGCGGAAACTTTTTACAGTGTAGTAGATCATCAGAGCTTTCTACTGCATCACCTATCTATACGGGTGCTAAAGCCGCACGTGGCAACTATTCCAGAATAGTTTTTAATCTATCCGATAACCTCTGCTGTTCGTGCGGTTCAATTGTTCCACTCTCTTATGTCAGCACCTATGTTACTCACAAAACAGAGTCTATCGTCGCATATTTAAGGTTCTCCACCTCAGAAATCGATCTCGACTTCCTGTAGACCGATCGAGCTCAAAATTCTTGGAAATAGAAGCTAACCTAACTTAGTAACTATCAAAGTTTTGAGACTATCAAATATTTTATTGAGAATAAAGTAGGTGTCGCCAAAAATGTAAGTAGTTCGACATTTTTTGTTCGATTCTGGACAGAGTGACCTCATTCGATAAAGAAATGAAAAATGAAGGGATTGCAGTACCTCTTTTTTGAAATTTGGCTCCTCAGCCGAGATATAAATATTTTTACTCTATTTTTTTTGTCATCCATTTTGATACGCTCGTATTATATTCCAAATATCTCGGCTGGAAAGTCAAATTTCAAAAAAGTGGTACTGCAATCTCTTTATTTTTCATTTCTTTATCGAATGAGGTCACTCCGACCAGGATCGGACAAAAAATGTGAAACTGCTTACATTTTTGGCGACACCTACTTTATTCGCAGTAAAATATTTTTTAATTTTTTTTGTGAAAATTTTGATAGTTTCTAAGTTAGGTTAGCTTCTATTTTCAAGAATTTTGACCTTCCCATTCAAACTTTTGGAAATTAATGCAAACCGAAAAAAATTAATGCGAACTAATTTAATATGAGACTTTTTTAAATTGGTTTACATTAATTCCAAAAGTTCCAATAGGTTGATCGGTCCACAGGAAGCGTAGATCGATTTCTGAGGTAGAGAACCCTTAAAGACACGACGATAGACTGTTTTGTGTGAATGAGTTGTTTTTTGTTTGTTCTGCGCTCGATTGACGCTATTGGATTCATTTTTTCTGCTGACTGATACAATTAAGGAGTGTTTGTCTGATATAGCATTAGTTGATAGGTCTTTTCGTACACCAGCTATAATTTCTTCATTTTAACAGATAACCCATACGTATTGGTGACATTCGACGCAGAACATTCTGTTGATTCCGAATATCCAAACTTTCTCAGACAAACACTGAATAACTCAGAAACAGACTTAAAAAGTCAAGAAAAAAATGACTGACGCTATTAGAAAGTTTCACTCAACGAAACGATGATGTAGTGGAACCCACTTTTATTCGGTTCTATTATCTGATATGTAGAACCTGAAACTTTCAGCAGTTTTAGCGGTTCCCCATAAAAAACGTTGGTAACCGCATTATTTCTCAAAACCGGTTGTTAATCAGACACAGTAACATAATAAACGATGGATCGGTTGCAAAAAGCAAGTTTTAATCATTATTTTAAATTATGCTTATGATATAGATAAGCATATTAGTCAAACTAACACTCATTCTATGACAAAGAAGAACAAAAACTGAGTCAACATAGATGTTGCTGTCAATCATCTTGTGAAATTTTTATGTTTTACAGTTGCTGAACAACGTTTAAGGGTGAGATAGTCTGGTAGTCAGTGTTGTTAGAAAGCAATCGGGACTTTTTGTTAATTGTTCAGGTAAACTCACCGTCACGACATAATACATGGCTCATGAACACGGCGAAAAAACTATGAGATCTCAGTAATTTTTGAGAAACAGCAACATTTAACTATTTTCGATTCTTAAGAAAAAGGAACGATTGATCGGCAGAAATTGTCGGTAGTCTGTCGTTTAACGGCGAAGTTCGGCCGTTAATCCTTGGCTTCGATCATATGGGGACACATCATGAGTTTATTGTTGCAATTATTGCATCGCAACAAATTGAGACTTTTAATGACATTAGTCATCAGATCCCAATTTTAGATTACCAATTCTCTAAAGTATTTAGAGACGACGGAATTGCGAAAAAATAATAAAATGCATTTTCCTGCTTTGAAATGCATTTAGGATATCTTTTATCTTACCGAAACCACCTTGTCCAAGTTTAACTCCGAATTGAATATCGCTGAAGTTAATTTCCTGAAGATGATTTGTGCCAATGACAATTAGTGGATGATTCGATTTATGTTGATTGGTCTCTACTTTTTCTCTCTTACATTTCAAACACAAATCATAACTGGAACATGTATCACACTTGAACCGAATACCAACAATCGATTCCATTTTGCAACCATCGCATGAGACTTTTTCATGCTGAACACCTTTGAACTGTTCTATTAGTTTCGATAATGTCACTTCAAGACTAACATCTTTAATCGTCTTTCCAAACAGTTCCATCGGCATTCTGAAATGTGCAAAAGCGTGTCCATTTTTATGTTCATCCGTTTCCCGTCGTTTTTCAAAACATGAGCCGCACAAATCGAAATCGGTGCATTCCAAGCATCTATAACGATCTCCTATAATATATTGCGATCTACATTCGTCACACGGCGTCTGATGTATGTCATTGTTATCGTCGTTCAACACGAGCGCGTTTAAGCGTGATTGTGACTTGACTTTGCCTGCCATGCTGTTTTGATTCTAAGCGACACGGACAACTTCAAACATTGCAATTTTATCACTGCAATGCGAACAATTAAAGAATGAGAGTTGACATCGATTTTGGAAAACATAAATTTTGCTTATCTTATAAAGAGTCACAAAATCTCCCATGACAATGGAAGCGTTGCGTATCCGATAGTCGAAACGAAAGATCATCGTATATTTCTCAAAAGGCTAACGATGTAGATTAGGATTTGTCAGCGGGATTTTGTTTTCATTAGAGGAATTTAAGTTTTACCAGCAGAAACTTGATGGAATTTTGGTTTTCAGTTAAGGATTTCGCCCATAGACGAGATTCCAAGAGGCAGACAATATTTGATCTACTACTCATCCTGCATGTAAGTGAGATTTTGATTGAAGCTATCAATTTTTATGTCTCCCTTGACATCTTGTCGCAGAACTCCGCTTCAAAACATCAAGATCCCATTCCAAGGATAATCTCCAAACTTATAATGCAGCAATCCTTTCAGACATCGAGTAGCAGCATAAACATAATGGGTTCGAAAACGTCACAAAAATAAGCTTGTCACTCCATGCAATAAATTAAACATTACATTAGGTTGCGTCCGAAGAAGAAATTAGCAATTTCTTTTCAATTGATTCAGACAACTCAAGGAGCTTCGAAACCACTGTTCTGCAGATATTTACGTATTCTAAGCAACCACACGTAACGATGCTCTCCAGACGAAACGCAGCTGAGCTTCATCGGTCTCGTGCTAACGAGCGAGACTGATAGAGGTTCTCTTACAGTTTCGAGATTTTGTAATGATGCCATTTGTAACTAGCATGCGATGCAAAAGTCTCTGCGAAAATGTCTAGCTCTTTTTCGGACGGATAGGCACATGTTTGACTGAACATTTTGGAATCAGCCGATAGCCCATTCTGCCCTCTTTCGAATAATGTTTGACTTGCTGTTACAGTCCGTTACTAACAGAATGATACGAGACGAAAGCGAGGCTATCGCACAACGCATTTCTAACTTACATTGTGATTCTCCTAACGATCCGATAGAAACTAGGGTAAATCATTTTAAAAACCAAATATCTCATTTCAAACTATATATTATGTATTAAACAAATATTCGAAACATGGAATCACAAAAGATCAACCTCGAACCGGCTGTCCCATGAAAATATCCAGCAAAACTGAAAGGTGCTGTTCAATCCGTGTACAATCGATGTGATCTGAGTCAAAGCAAAATTGGCGGAGGTTTTTGGGCACACTAATTGACCACTACGCATTATGTAAGAAGTGGAACATCGATCGTTATCAGAAAAGGCCGTAAGATCCAAAAATAGACGGTGTGAAACAAAAAAATCGAACAAGGAAAACTTGTGGCAAAATCTATCGGAGAACATTGGGCAGCTGTGATCTGATTTCGGACGATGGAAAAATATTTCATATTGAGCGGAAACTACGACGGCAGCAACCGGATTTTCTATTCAACCGATCCAGCGACGATGCCTCTTAATATCAAATTTCAAAAGAAAAAAATTCGAACACAAATTGGTGGTTTGGATTTCGGGTGTGTACATCAACTACTGCATCCAAACTATCCGTCAGGGAACGCATTTGACGCAATGTATTAATAAAAGACTACTTCCGCTTATCGACAAATACTATCAGAATAGCAGTTATCCATTCTTGTCTGATTTGGCTCAAGGAATCAAAAAGAACACAAAATAACTCAATCAGAAAATATCACAAGCTATGGCCGAAGGTGTTCGAAAGAAGCTTGAGACTGTGTGGCAAAACGAGCCGTATTCAGTTTAATAAAAACTGTTTTCTGTAATATCTTTCATGCTTTTTATAGTGAAAAAAAATTGGCCCTATCACTAATTGAATGACTGAGCTATAAAGTTCGACATTTTTACAAACACTTTTGCATCGCATATCATTCGTAGATACTTGTCGTCTGTACATTTATAAATATCCAGATACACCTAGAGCTTTGAAATCCGATTTGGATGTGTTCGCTTTTACTACTGGATTTTTAATTTTTTTTCCAGATGTAATTATGTGATGAGGGGTCAATACGGACATAAAAGTTGATAGTTCGAATCGCGACCTCATTCTACGTCCAGGAGTTTTGTTCAATGAGTAGCAGATCTAAATATTGTTTATCTACCAAAATCGCAATCAAGTTTCCGCTGGCAAAATCTTAAGTTAAAACTAGTGAAAATAAATCTCCCTGACAGATGCTAATATACATCCTCGGCCTTTGAGAGATATACGACGGTATCTAGCTTCTATTATCAGATTGACAGCATTTTCGCTGTTAGACAATATTTTGTGAATTGCAATGCAACTAAGCAAAATTCGCGCTTTTCAAAATTACTGTCACGGCTGGGTTATCAAGTGTTTTCTGCTTTAAATGATTGAATTCTGATAAAAAAATGCGAACATCAAGTACAAATTTCCTAATTATTCATTTTGTATGTGGTCTTTTTAAATAAGATCTCCTTTCACAGCGCTGGAACTTCTTTTTTACCTGATAAGTCGACGCATTTGGTCTAAGCGATTGTGGATTATCATAATATGTAGTGCCTGTAACATAATTAAAATAATAAAAAAGTTAGGTGTTGAAAAGACACAAACAACTCATCTTGGCGTGCCAATTGCGCCAAATTGCGAGAGAACGCATGTACTTCGTCAAAATATTGGAGAAATTTATCATGTTCAATTTTAATGCCATAAAGTGCAAGAGTAAGTATGCGAATTGAATGAACGCAATTCATGAATTTATACGAGAATTTCTCAATAGCTTTGGGAAGGCTAGTCACTACGGCAAGTTCAGTGTGCCTTCGTCTATCCGCCTTATCTATCTGTCCACTATTTATCTTCTATTCTCAAGATCCATTTATTCTCCATCTATCTAACTATATTCCCCTCACCCACAGACCTATCCCACCTCTCCGTGTAATTCCGAAACTAGTTAGTTTTTGGTGAGCGTTGACCAGAGCTTTGCGGGACGAATTCCGCGCTCTGCGATCTTCTAAGATGCCTATGGAGCATATACAGAGTTCTTTTGCGTTCTCTCATTGCACCTGATAGTCGCGCGGAACTCGATGGTGACCGCTAAAAAAGAGGTACTTAAAAAGATATTCAAAAGTGACTAATTTTAAGGTGCAGAAAAATGCCTTTCCATCTCGTCACCCAAGTGTAAAACGGGGGTTTGGATTGAATATCGGACCCTTCCTGAAAGTCCAAAAACGAATCACAGCTTTTTGGACATAATCTATCATTTGTGATTTTTATTCGTTCTGCTCGATTCCTAATTCGATCATCTTAGTGGATTTCCATGGACGAAAAAGTTGTTGTAGTAGAAAAAATGATTTCCTTCAGAAAAAATTATATCATTCGATTCCTCAACCCTAAATATTTGTGTCTCTTGAATTTTAGACACTGCCTTTACTCCTTTACCCCGTTGCATTCAAGCTGTAGGTGCTACACAATATCCGTAGAAAGACGCCTGAATTTTGAATAATTCATACCTCGGAGAGGCTACATCAAAAATTTTGTATCCAGGTTAGTCTAACTGAGATCTTAATGTGGGCAAATTTTTTCAGGTTAAACCACGATTTTATTAAAAAACTGGGGTCATAGAGGACCGAAATCACCAAAAATTCAATGTCCCGGTCAAAACTTAATAACTGCACGAACCTTTTGGTTGTTGCTACAGTCTAGTGGCCTCCTACTGTCAGCAAAATATGGGCTCAAAAGCTTTTAAGCATCTGGGGATTCTCCCTCGATAGTATTTTTTCTGAAATCTAAAAAGGTTGCATTTCTTTACTGAAGTCAATAATGATAGTCCAAAGAAATCTATATTTGCTCATTAGGCACCTTAGGAGATCGCAGAGCGCGGAACTCGTCCCGTGAAGCTCTGATCAACACTCATCAAAAACTAACTGGTTTCAGAATTACACGGAAAGGTAGAGAAACAATTGCTCTATTCTGGATTCTAATAATCGGCTTAAACGGATGTAGAGAATCGGAGGTATATTCATTTGACTGAAAAGTGAAAATTGGTAATCGAATAAGGATCAGCCACTCTATATACAACGAAAAAATGTGTGAGATGCTCTAGACACTTGAACTCTAGCGGTTTCCAGTCAGTTCAATAATCGAGCAAAAGTTGTAAAAAATAGTCTTTTATGGTTAACTCAACGTGCTCTACCATCTAAACAGATGGAAAAAACATTTTTTGCCAGGAAAGGTTTTCGCTGAAGAAAGCTGATTTTCCAGAAAACGGGTCCCTGGAGGCCTTGTAGCAGCATGAACCGTCATGTTCGGAACCAGCATATTCGACTATCTATGGTCCGCTAAATTCTGGCTCAAAAGCGATTTGACACTTGATGGCCTTTCCTTGTAACTACAATACCTATTCCAACTTAACTGGTTTTTCTATAAGAAATCAATACTTTCGCATAAAAAGATTTTGAAACAGTTATAACCAATGATTGTCTTACTACGCGGAATAAAGCGATACATTTTTCATCAATTAATACAACTCATAGGTAAATAAAGGTAAATAAATACAACTCGTATTATCAACAAACCTCTTGGAAGCCTTTCGAGAGTTATCCTTGTAGACGGTCCGCATCCCATCTTTTTCGTGTTGAGGCAGTTGCTGTCGTCCAAATACTCGAAACAAGTAAGTATGAAGAGAATGTAATCTAAAGATACTTGAAAAAATAAGCAAACTAAAATGAATTGTGAGAATCGAAGAGTCGCAT